GCAAGCACCGTACTCTTAGAAATACCATGGTGTGTGTGTGCAAGCTGTTTCCTTCATGTACTCATCTGCAGAGGCTCACCGAGGCTCCTTATAATTCCTGCCTCTCGTTCTTTGCGCAGCTGCCGCCTTGGATGCACAAATACCTCTGTGCTTTGTGGGCTTGGAGTTCTTATGACCAACAGTGGCAAAGCTGGCTCACAGGGTAGTTCTTTGTATAGTTTGCGAGGAATCGCTGCACTCATTCCCATTGTGGTTGCCCTAGTCCACACTCCACACAGCAATATTAGCTCCCCTCTGCCTTCATCACCATTTGTGGTCCTCTGTCCCCTTCAGTGGCCACTCTGACTTGGGTTAGGTGGACTGCGGCAGGTTTTCTATGTGTTTTCCTTGTGGCTGAGGAGGTTGAGCAGCGTTTCCCGTATTTATTGGATATCTGCACTTACCACCATCCCATCATGCCTCTGGGCCCAGACTTGGAGGCCGTGGATTTCTCATGCCAGCACATGTTCCTGTCACAGCACCCCAGGCCACCTTGTTCACACGAGTGTCACTGCTTTCTCTAATGGCAGAAGCCACTCAGGATAGCACAGCATGAACTTGAGAAAGTGAGCCTGCAGGGCACGAGGCAGGACTTTGCATCTCTGCCTGCGAAGCTGATGCAGGGATAGGGACTTTGCCCTCCAGAAAAACCCAGCTCTCTGTACGGGACAGAGCTTGTACCAGCAGAGGCAAGGGCCAAGGAATTAGGTGCCATCCCCTAGTCGTCCAGGATGGGATGCTTGCAGACAGAGGGGACCGATGAGCTGTGCCTCACCATTCAGGTGCCTATCCAAGTTGGACATCAGGGAGGAAGCCATGACTGCTGTGTGGAGCCGGATGATACGATGAGGTCATGTGGCCACAGCAGAGGAGCAGGCTGCTCTTGACAAGATCAGGAGACAAAGGATGAGCAGAAACCACCTAGACAACCGCTTCAGGGCTAGGGTTCAACAGGATTCCACTCTGCCTTTGTCAATATACCCACTGAGTCCACAGACATCAGTGGCATGGCTGGAGAGATCGGTGCAGGAGAATATGGCCAAAGTCTGCAGTTCTGTCCTGGACACAGCCCTTCAGATCCTCCCTCACAAAATGAGACAAATGCAGTGACCCAGGCAGTAGATGGAGACTGTCCTGTCTCTGCAGCCTTTATGAAGGTCCCGTATCCATGTTTACAGTTAGTATGTGGAGAGTTTATCCCACCTGTCATCAAAAGTGTTCAGAGTGCTAAGCCCTGTGACACAGGCAAAGCCTGTCCAGGAGCCCTGGAGGGAGGGGGGTGTCTTTGAAATGGAACAAGTGCCACAATGTCCTCATTTAATGATGCACTAATGTTCCTAGAGGTCATTGCTGGATACCATGACAAAACTCTCAGGGACATAAAGATGATTGGTTGTACATTTCCCTAGAGCCCAGGAGGCTGCCGAGGAGGACAATGAAGCCCAGAGAAGACCTCTCTGTAGAAAATGTTGACCTGCCAGTCTTGCCTAGCAAACAAAGCTGCAATGTCCCCAGTCTCTAGGGCATAGCCCCACATGCTAGTGGAACGTATGGGGTGCCTGCCATCCATTGAGCCAGGAGTTGAGTGTGACAGAGGGGAAACTAGGAAGGAGAGCTCAGGGGTGGGCAGCTCTCCAGATCAAGGTCTGGCCTTAATCAGATAGCTGTGGGCTCTCGGGGGGAGCCCTAGGTCTGGAGAGTACCCTGATCCACATTGACTCATTTCTCTTTTTGGTTGCTCTGTGTGGCAAGTATTGCTGATGAGAGAAAGGCTCAGAGATAAGCAGGGAGACAAGGAGCTATGCCACTACCACCTGACAGCCATTCACCTGGGGACTCCAATGTGTCCCACTCAAGTGTGAGTCTGTGGGCTAATGCATGGATTCTCAAAGGAAGGGAGGGAGGGAGGAGAGAGAGAGAGAGAGAATTCTGTAGTGCTAAAGGGAGTCACTGACCAAGCCTCTG